GTGAAAAATAGAGAAGGGATTGCAGTGTGGCCATTCCCCCAGGGGTGATTTCTCACTTTCCCTCTCTCTGTCTTTCTATGTCCATGCTGCCTCCCTGTGAGTCGACATGTCCTATGGAAAAAAAAAAAAAAAAAAAACTTTAAGAAATAATTATGATAATGTTATATGTAAAATAACATATCCTGCTTTATTTAACGTTGTATCAAACATGTTTTCAAGGACTTAGGTGTTGCTAAAGTATTTATAAAAGCTAGACCATGACATCCATGGTTTTCATTTCCTGTGTGTCAGGAGTTGAGCTATTGCACAAAACACTGTTCTCTATGTCTTGTGAATAAAGATGTGCCCCTGGTCCACTTTTTGTCCTTACACTCTCAGAAATGAAAAGACTAGAACAGGCCTGAACAGCTCTAAGAATCTTGAAACATGTTGTAACATTAGCACAGAATGTTTTGAAATGTAATAAAAGCCCTTGCCTGGGAGTTTGGAGAACTGTTTTTTTGTTTTTATCATGGCCAGAGGGCATATATGTGGCCAAAGACAGAACGGAATAAAGTACCTCCTGTGGGGTGTGGTCACCCCACACTCCCTTCTTCATTTCTCCATCCTGTCAGGATTTGGACCATGCACACACATCCGGCGGGTTTTTCAAACTGCCGTACCAGGATATGAGCCATTGGCCATGTGGGATTGAGTCCTTTAACCACTAGATCATGGGCCTGGCCCTGAAGATTTGAGTTTTAATATTCACACACCCTGTAATAAACTGGCCAGTCACTCAACTCCTTTAATCACAGTCAGTTTCTTTTAAGAATTATTTTAGCTCTTCCTTTCTCTGCCATCGTGGTGTGTGCAGTCCACTCGGTTCTTCGCTGTGTCTTCTGACAAGACTTTCAGAATCAAGCAGTCTCTGGCCAAAACACAGACGCAAAATCATCCTGTTCCCCAGTAGATTAGAATGAATGGTAATAAAATCAGGTACACTGCAAGAAGAGACACTGGAGAAGAGCCAAGTTCCTCTATGAGGAACTGGACAGGAGCAGGCCCACATATTTACACTGTACCAAGGTCACTATGGTCCTGCCACATCAGGCTGAAATAGCCACCACTGCCTGGACCCTTGGGAGTGTTATACTGGAAAAAAAAATGATGCTTCATTTTGTTTCGAGGTTCTGCATTGGTAGGTTGGTTCAGTAATAAATATGTGAGACCTTTAAAAAAAATTATTTTATTTAACTTTATTTATTTATTTGTTTGTTTATACATTTTTTTCTTTCCTTTTTTTTTTTTTTTTTTTTTGGGGGGGTTTTTGTTTGTTTTTCATTTTTTTTTTTCTTTTTTTTTTTTTTTTTTTTTTGGAGAGGTTTTTGCTATAGGGCGTGTGTGCTCGCCAGACAGACAGAGAGAGACAGAGAGACAGAAAGCGAGAAATCACCCCCCAGGGGGATGGTCACGCCGCAATCCCTTCTCTTCCATTCTCCTCTCAGGATCTTGGTCACGCACGCACATGCGCCCGGCATGAGTTTAAGCCACTGGATCCGGGACGCGAACCGCGGTCGACTACGTGGGAGTCCAGCGACATAGCCATTACGCTAACTGCTGGTCCCTGTTTGTTTATACATTTTAAGTTGACCATAGAGGAACAGAGCAACAGAGAGGGTGAAAGTGAGAAAGCAAGCCGCCAGGTCCAGGACTAGAACCATTGTAGTTAATGTCCAGCGCCCTCAACCACCACGCCAACTGTCTTCAGAGGTTTATATTTTGCCAATTTGAGACATATTCAACCATTCGTTCTTCAAATAATGGTCTATACTTCATTCTTTCTTCCTCTTTGACTCTCATGAGAAAATGTTAGTCATTTTAGGATTGTCTTACAGGTCCCTGAGGTCTGGTCATGTTTTATTTCCTGGTTGTTTTCCTCCCTGTTTTTCAAATTGCATGATTTATAGTGCTCTATCTGAAAATTCACTGACTCTTTTCTGTGTCATCTTCATTCTGCTACTGAGTCTACTCAATGAGTTTTTTTATTCATTATATTTTTGAGTTCTAAAATTTTTTATTCTTAATATCTGTATTTACTCATTTTTATTAAATATTTTAAATAATTATTTATTTAACTTTTTACTATTATTATTTTTTAATTCGCTATAGGGTGTGCATGCTCACCAGAGAGAGACACAGAGACAGAGAGAAAAAGAAAGGAAGAAAGCAAGCTGCCAGGTCGGGGTATTTGAACCATGGCCAGCCATGTGGGAGTCCAGCATCTTAACCACCATTGCCTCCCCCCCAATATTTTAAAGTATCATAATATTATGTACTAAGGCTTGCTATTTTTTCATTTTTTAAGAGTTTGTTCAACCAGACTTCTTTTTTTATTTTTTTTTCCAAGAGGTTTTTGCTATAGGGCACGTGCACTCACCAAAAAGACAGAGAGAGATAGAGAGACAGAAAGCAATAAATCACCCCTCCCCCCCAGGGGAGATGGCCACGCCACAATCTCTTCTCCCTCATTGTCCTCTCGGGATCTTGGGCACACACGCACACGCGCCTGATGTGCGTTTAAGCCACCGGGTCCAGGACTCGAACTGCGGTCAACTACATGGGAGTTCAGTGACATAGCCATTACTCCAACTGCTGATCCCCAGACTTCTTTTTTTTTAAAGAATTATTTTATTTAACTTCATTTATTAATTTATTTTAATTTGACCAGAGAGGGACAGGTTGAGAGAGAAAGAGAATGAGAAAGCAAGCTGCCAGGTCTGGAACTCAAACCACAATCGACAATGTGGGAGTCCAGCACCTTAACCACCACACCACTTGCTGGCCCCTCAACCAGACTTCTCAGAGCAGTTTTGTAATGGCTGCCTTAAAGACTCTATTAATAATCCCAACATCATGGCATCTCAGTGCGGGCATCTGCTGAATGATTTAGATGAATTGAGATTTTCCTTCTTCTTTGTATGCTATGCAAATTTGGGTTGTATCTTGGACGTTTTTAATATTTGAGTAGATGAGATCCTGGAATTCATTTAAATATGTTGGTTCGTATTATTTCAAATTCTGGTCTTCTTGATGCATCTGCTGCTCCAATTTACTTTTCAGAGTCTGTAAATAACTACTTTGTTCATTCTGTCCAGATTCTATTGCAACATTCAGTAGGAAGTGGATAGAGTGTGCTTCTCCCATCTTGCCTGGAAACAAAATTTATCTCAGCAGGCAGATGAACAAATTAGACCAATATTTTTTTAAAAAGTGTTTGCCTTAAGGTGTGTGTGCTCTCTGGGGAGAGAGAGAGACAGAGACAGCGAGAGGGAAAGTGAGAAATCTCCCCCCAGAAGGGATGGCCACACCACAATCCTTTCTCCATTCTCCTCTCAGGATCTTGGGCATCCATGCACATGTGCCCAGCATGAGTTTCAAGCTACCAGGTCCAGGACTCAAATGGTTGGCCATGTGGGAATCCAGTAACATAATCTATGCCATCTGCTGGCCCCAGAGCAATAATTTTTTTTTAAATTAAGGCTGTAATTTTCTTTTTAAATGACAGAGGACACAGGCATGTAAAGTGAGAGAAAGAGAGAGTGAGAAAGAGGATCCCTAAATGGGGCCAGTCATGCTGCAATCCTTTTTCCTCTACTTCTCCATCCTATCAGGATTCTGGGCACACATGCGTGATGTATTTTCAAGCCCCCAGGGCCAGAACGTGAATGATGGTTGGTCATGTGGGTTCTGGCTTCTGCACAGCACCTAACCACTGCACTATGGGGCTCCCCAAAGGCTGAAGTTCTTATACAACTAGTTTTATCCACTTTTGACATCTCTATCACATATTATTCAACATTTTTTTTCCTGTGTCACTACTAAATACCTGGTCCTTGGCTGTATTAAACTTTCCTTTCCTGTTCTCTCTATCCTCTGCCCTGCTCATAGATTGGCTGTTTTTCTGTTGTCTTCTTTCAGCTAAGACAAGGTTGGAATTTTCCAAAAGGAACTTTACAGAGAAGGTGGGACGATAAATAGAACGGTATTGATTTGGGGAGCGGTAACAATTCCAGCTTTGCACAGCACTGACCTGTCTGGAGAGCCCTTGCATGTCCTTTTCTCATATGATCCTTGAGTGACCTCTTATAGACAGCCAGGCCAGGCTGATTGTCCATTTCAGAGTTGATGCAGCAGGACTTTTTAATATGTTATGTAATCTTCTCAAGGTCTCTCAGTTGTGGGGAGAGGCAGAGCCAGGGCCAGGTGGATTTCTGGCCACGTACCCAGTGTATTTACTGCAGCTTTGGCTTGGCGACTAATGATGTAGTGATTTTATGATCCGGCTATCCAGTTTACACAGCACCGTGTAAATGCCCTATGCATTTTCCATGGCCTGGTGTGGTCTGAGGTGAACAAGTTGCAAGATCTTTGGATCTAGCCTCAAAGCTGTGGGTGGAACACTCAATCTGTTCCTCCAGGATGTATTATTTCCATTTCTGGGAGCTTGTATTAAATCTCTCGTTATTTTTGTAACTGGGAGCTTGTATTAAATCTCTCGTTATTTTTTTTGTATATTTCTGGCATGTCCTCTAAGCCAGCTTAGAGGGTAGAAGGATAAATCAGACCATTCCCAGACTCCTGACCCCTGAGGGTCCCAGATGATCTTCTGAACCTTTCTGGCCCTTGAGGAGCCCATCAAAAGGCTTTGGGGTGGGACCAGCAGTTAGCGTAATGGCTATGTCGCTGGACTCCCATGTAGTCGACCGCAGTTCAAATCCCAGACCCAAAGGCTTAGACTCATGCTGGGCACGTGTGCATGCGTGCCCAAGATCCCAGGAGGAGAATGGAGGAGAAGGGATTGTGGCGTGGCCATACCCCCTGGGGGGTGATTTCTCGCTTTCTATCTCTCTGTCTCTCTCTATCTGTCTGGCGAGCAAAAACCTCTCCAAAAAAAAAAAAAAAAAGAAGGCTTTGGGGAGAAGAGTCGGGGTGTGGGGGCTAAAAAAAATTCCCTACAGCCCTCCAGGCCTCATGTGAACAGGAGAAGGAAGCTCTTACGAACTCCTTCCAGGAAGCCAAAGCTGCCCTGCAGGTGAGAAGGACTGGCGTGTCAGTCTCTGGTGAGAGGAGGAGTGGCAGAAAACCAGCATGGAACCCCAAAGAAGCCAAATCAATGACCTCTCCCTAGGTAGAAGGGCAGAGGTGATTGTCATCTGTGGGTCCAGGCCCCCTAATGTGGTGACCAGGTTTATTAGCTCAGGAGGACTTGGTTTGAGTTTAAGGTTTGGTCCATTGCCCAAGGACTGTTGGAAGGAGCTCGGAGACGGTGTGGCCTATGTACCGCAGTATGATCAGACTGGGGGTGGATACTCAGTTATCTGTAGAAGCATGAGACAAGGTATCTAATTCAAACTGGCTGCTCAGGGGAGTTTCTAGAAGGGGTGAGATCTGAGCTGGAACCAGAATAAGGCTTGAATTCTTCAGGTGAACGGTAGGAATAAAAGCAATGTGCTCGAAGGTACGGTAGAAAATGGGGAAAATAAGGAATACGTGAGGAAGTGAACGACGTCTAGGAGGCCTGGAGCATAGAGGCTGGAGAGGTTGACAAGGCCGAAGGTGGGAGCCCCTGAGCCGTAGTAAGGCTCACCCTATCCTGAAGGTGATGGTTAAGGTTTAGATGAAGTTCTTGGCAAGGGAAAAGGTTGGAGACGCTCCTTGCCATTGGGGAGTGATGTGATATCCAGCTACAGGAGAAGCTGTGTCTTGGGGAGCGGTGAGAGATGAACTGGAAAACTGAGAGCCTGGCTTGCATGGGCTTTGAATGCTGGGCTGCCACTGGCTTCCAATACCAGGACATTGTCTCTGAGGGTATGGGGAGCCACTAAAGGCTGTAGAGCAAGAGGCGGGGCTAGTATGTTTTTAGGGGTGGGAAAGTAGA